CCGACGCTTCATTCCAACTTCAATTTGCATCCTGTCAAGACGTCCGGAGGATCCAGCTGCACCTTCCTCGACCCGATCTCGCGGGCCTCACTCTCGGGCGCACTGCGCGGCGTCGGCTAGGACGTTTTCCGCAAACTCTCCACCTCAAAACAGCCTCCTTCGAGACTGTCGGGCGGCGTCGGTGGCGAGGCGTTCGTTGAACTGTCCACTCCCACGCAGCCCGTCCGTTGAACCACCCGATCATTCTCTGGAACAGGGGCGGGCGCCGCGTCCCGGCGGCCGAGCTGCCTCGTGTCTGCCGCCAGCGCACTTACGCTAACACGGGCACCGATTCACCCACTCTTTCCTCGCGCCTTTTGTCACCCAGTGAGGACCTTTTTGCATTGTGGGAGTTTTCTGACTGACATCGCGGCCATCACCGGCCCTGACTCCGGCATGCCTTCCGTGGGCAGGACGGTGAAGTCCACAGCCGTTTTGAGCTTGATGTCGACGCCTCTGCATACCAGCCCTGACCCATCTTCGTCCCTTCAGAAGGTCGGTGGCGGCGCAGTGTCCAAGCCAGCCCGGATGCGGCTGTGTGTCTCTGACGATGACTGACCTCGCCGCCGGCCCGCAGGCAAGCAGACGATGACCAACATCGCGCTGAGCTGACGATGACTGACCTCGCCGCCGGCCCGCAGGCAAGCGATGGTGACCAACATCACGCTGAGCTCTGGCGATGACTGACCTCGCCGCCGGCCCGCAGGCAAGCCGATGGTGACCAACATCACGCTGAGCTCTGGCGATGACTGACCTCACCGCCGGCCCGCAGGCAAGCCGATGGTGACCAACATCACGCTGAGCTCTGGCGATGACTGACCTCGCCGCCGGCCCGCAGGCAAGCCGATGGTGACCAACATCACGCTGAGCTCTGACGATGACTGACCTCGCCGCCGGCCCGCAGGCAAGCCGATGGTGACCAACATCACGCTGAGCTCTGACGATGACTGACTCGCCGCCGGCCCGCAGGCAAACCGATGGTGACCAACATCACGCTGAGCTCTGACGATGACTGACCTCGCCGCCGGCCCGCAGGCAAACCGATGGTGACCAAACATCACGCTGAGCTTGACGCCGTGCTGGGCCAGCCGGCGTCCTGCGCGCCACATCTGCGCCGACCCGCCGCCCACGCAGCTGCTGGGTGTGGGCCAGTTCGCGCGCGCCCGGCCACCACTCGGCGCTGGCGCACGCGGCCAACACCCCGACGGCGCGCACAACAGCTGCTTCGAGGCGACGCTGTTCGTGCCCGCGCTGCGGCCCGAGATGGCCGGCGAGGAACCGTGCTGGTCGTCAACGCGCTCGGGGCCGACCAGCGACGCGGCGCGCTCGCCGTCAGCCCCCAGTCACGGACATTCGGCGGTGCGCCAGTGCCGGCGGCCGCCCTCCGTTGGCCGGCGGCGGCCCGCGCTGCCGCTGCTGCTGTGCTGCTGCTGTGGCGGCGTAGCGTAGAGACGCCGCGGAGGGGCCAGGCGCCGGCGGCTTCTCGGTGTGTGTTGTTACTGCTCAAGTTGTTGACGGGCGGGCGGCGGCGTGTGGCGGTTGTCCGTCCGGGAGAAGAAGCTGCAGACGCGCGAGATGAGGGCGGCCCGGCCCACGTGCGTGAGTGGCTTTGGCTGTGGCGCTTTGTAATTCGACATTCGAATCGTCTCAATAAATGTGCCGATACTGGACTTGTGCACAAGCCCCACCCGGCAATCGATGGCTCACATTGCATTCTGCAAGGCGTATACACGAGCAAGTGGTGGGCCGTGAACCTTTGGCCCGGACTGGCAGTTGAATAATCGCCGGACGGCACGCTCGCCGTAGCACATAGTGAACAGCTTTTGCTTCCTTGTACGGTTGATTAGCGACGGAAGATCAGCAGAGAGTGCATAGTACCATATCGTTGCCAATAATGGTGTTTTTGTCAGCCCTACGTCTCGAAGCATAGCTTAACATTATGGTTTTTGTTAGTGTGGCACGATTACTTCACATAAAAGCACTCAAACGAATCCGTCTCCATATCGACATGGAGATCGGACTTCGTTCACTCATTCATCCAACCCATTTCGTTCACTCTCAGTACACGCCTGCTAGACCTAAATGGAAGCGATGCTGGCGCTGGCTACAATGCTGAGTAAATCTCAATTCCTGCGCGAAATGCAGGCCGATTTAGAAATCGGTGCGCACAGGAAATCAGGAATGAGCGCAGCCGGAATGACATCCAACACGGCATTTTGCGTGAAAAGAAACACGTATCCCATTTAAATTTCGGTGAACAGACGCAGCTAGATCGAATGTGTGACATGTCGTTGGTGTACGCTTTAAGAATAAGGGAGCCTGTTGAACCGTTTCCCCTTTTACGGAGATACATCAGCAGGCGACCTCTGCCATGCGAATAGGAACGGCGCCCTGGGCGGTAGGGGTACCAATTTGCACGTAACTTAGTTAACGGGGCGTACGCCAGTCAGCGCGTTTCCCAAATTCATGTTATCTACAGTCAAACCTAAATTAAGGCCCTAAAAAGCATCCTTTCAACCACAATGGATGTATAGCGATGGAAATACTGCCACTTTTGGAATATTTTGCACAACTGACCACGCTGGAGCCCTACCGATGAAAATCTATCTGCCATCCAAAGTGCAAACTGCGTCATTCGGAAATTCTTCTTTCCTTTAAAAGCGTTTCGTCTTAAACCCCGAATTTCGCAGTGTTATTACAGCGCAAGAAGTGAAAGTCTGACTACCGTCAGACGTTGTATGGATCAGGTGAACCAACGTTCTGTGTCTAACAAACTACTTTCGATAGTTCTATATGTGTTCAAATCTATGTCGATGCATGGAAAGGTTATTCTTAAGTTTTAAAATTTAAGACCAGCATCAAGTCTCTGAATTATTTTCTTTTGATTTTTCTACGCGCCATCCTCAGCCAATGCCGGCCGGTCACCTGGTGCACAAATGACTACCATTTTCAAACCAATCAACTTAACCGATAAATTTGACCGACCCTGGAGCCTGTACCGCCCCGACCAAGAGCACGTCCGCCACTGGCGCATGCCACAACAAACGAATCTCGAGCGCACACCGTAACTCATTCCACATCCAGATCACCTTACACGTGCAGAGGTCTTCACGCACGCAGACTAATCCTGACAGCCGGCACCTCTTTCTGTACATTCCGGAACATACTTCATGACTTTCAGAACATTCCAGAACATCTGCCACCGGCCTTTCAACTACATCCGGGTGCACCAAAGGCGCCCGTTTGTAGCACAAACAAGCGCGCTGTAGCCGACCCGCTGCCACTAATTTCCTTCCAAACAAACGGCAAAAGGCTGCGGACGCAAAAAGATGATATATTACTCGCCTGCCCTATGCCCACGATACAAAAAGCTACGGCAATAATGCTTCCCTTAACGCCGACAAAAAACGGGTCGCTGATCTCCGCGGGGCGGACCCGGCAGCGACCACGAGCAGCAACCTGGGTCCACCCGCTGCCGTGACGTCACACGGCCGCGCTGACCAATCGCGAGGTCGATGGCCGTCCGGGGAGTCACGTGATGGACTGCGCGCCGCTCCTCGCTCCCGGTAGTCGCCAATCGCCGCGGGCAGCCGGCCGATCAAAGGTCACCGCCCCGAGCGTCTGCGCTTGGTGGCGATGAGCGCGTAGCAGCGCGGCGAGGTCACGGGCTCGAAGAGCTGCACCAGCTCGGCCGATTCCACCGACCCCTGAAACAGAAGTCGTCTATCATGCATTCGCGCAAATCTGTCATCGTTTGTCGTCACTTATCGGGTTGCACGGGCCGCAGTAAACGGCCGGTCGCACGCGCCATCTGCGCGAGTGGTACCTCCGGTGTTTGATCACCAGGAGCACGCGACTGAGGTCGTCGACGTGTTCCTGCGCTGCCGTCAGTCCGGGCGTGCTTCTCACTCAGCACAGCGTGTGTACGCTGCGCTGCCGGAATCTGCGCCAACAACAACGCCGGCAGGCCCTTTGACTACAATCGTGTAAATGCTCGCGTTTTGCGTGCACCGCGCCATAATCATGAGCGCAGTGTCACATACGAAGGAGCCGTTCGCCCCGCCATAATCATGAGCGCAGTGTAACATACGGAGGAGCCGTTCACCCCGCCACAACCATGAGCACAGTGCCACCTTCGGAGGAGCCGTTCGCCCCGCCATAATCATGAGCGCAGTGTCACATACGGAGGAGCCGTTCGTCCCGCCATAATCATGAGCGCAGTGTCACCTTCGGAGGAGCCGTTCGCCCCCCATAATCATGAGCGCAGTGTAACATACGGAGGAGCCGTTCGCCCCGCCATAAGCATGAGGACAGTGTCACCTTCGGAGGAGCCGTTCGCCCCGCCATAATCATGAGCGCAGTGTCACATACGGAGGAGCCGTTCGCCCCGCCATAATCATGAGCGCAGTGTAACATACGGAGGAGCCGTTCGCCCCACCATAATCATGAGGACAGTGTCACCTTCGGAGGAGCCGTTCGCCCCGCCATTCGCAAGGCTCTTTGTCTAATGAAAAAGCGCGAACGAGGCAACGCGACACAAGGTCGTCGACAAAAGCAGCATTTTATACCAGGCACGGCGAGGGCTGATAAAAACGTGCATCGTGCGGCGGCAGCCCCCCCCCCCCCCCCTCCGTCAGTCATCGAACCAGCCTGTGCCCGCCGCTTCTCCCGGCGAACACAAAGCAGGACTAGGCAAACATGGCGGCGGCGGACCCAGGCAGGAGGGAGCTTCATTTCGTCCGCGGGGAAGACACATACAAAGGCGTTTTGTTGCTATTAGACCTCTTACCCTGCTCTGCGGCCGTTTGAGCCTCACATCAGAAACACCGGTAGGAGGGGCGACACCCACCGAAGGAGATACAACGCTCCATCGCTGCCTCCAGGAGCCAGTTCCCGACGACCAAGACGTTGTACTCTATTAAGCCCGACCGAACTCCGTGACAGGCTGAAGTCCCGCCGCGCGATAAGACGGCCCGTTCACGACAGCCGGTTAGCCTTATCGGCGGAGCGCCGTTCCACCGGCGTCGCGCCAGGCACTGGGGCCCGGCCGCGACCGAGCGTCGCCGCAGTCGCGGCGCTCGGGGGCTGCGCCGGGGCTGGACGCCAGGGCCGGACCAGCGACGGCAGAGGGCGCCGCTGCTGCACACGGACGGCACACGACGCACAGACCCACAAATCACAGACGGACGGATCGCGGACAGATGGGCAGATGGCAGACCGCAAACACAGACCACAGACCACAGGCCGCAGACAGACAGGCGGACCGGACACCAGGGAGCGCCAGGGCCGCTCACCAGCCAATGGACCGCACGCGCCACACGAGTATCCCCGCATTGGCGTATCCAAGGCGACGGCTACGGCCCTCAACATAATCTCCATTTCCGGAGGTCACCTACCGCCACAACAAGTTGGCATATCGTTCCGTCAGTGTTCCATAAATGCCGATGCGGAGACAAGGCCTTCTGACGTCCACTACCTCGACAACGTGCTCTGAAGTGCATGTCGACAATCTGGGATAGTCAGCAGCTATTTCGGGCTCGGAGAAGCCCAGTGTGCCGGCTGCCGTCGCACGCCGCGTACCAGTCACAAGCGCGCCTCAGGCTCACTGACGACGCATGCGTTATAATCCCTTCTGGTGCGGCACATGCATCATTCAAGAAGCTCATAACCCCATCGCAGAAGCTCATAACCCCATCGCAGAAGTCCAAACAGACGAAGGCCCACCAAGCTAAAATCCCGGACGGCCAGTGGGGTGTGTGGCAGAATTTCGCCGCCACTGGCGCCAAACCGGGCCGAGGCAATGCGTTCCACTTATACCACAAGAGACGCAGCCTCACCAGGCGTCATCCATCATGACGACGGCAGCGCGCGCAGCGTTGGTCTGCTCCCGGATCCTCTCATTTGGACGACAGCGTGCTAAATGTCCCACCCTCCCAGCTAGCAGCCCCAGACCGTGCGCCCGGCACCCGTCCACGCCCGGTTAAAGCTGTCCAATTTGCCCGGCTGGAGCGCGCTTGTTGTCCCTGATGACGCCTCCCACGTGCCGTGCTTCCGGTGTGAGCTCTGGTGTCTGTGGCCGTGGCCTGGAGACGTGTTCGGCAGGCCGGCGGGACGGGGCTAACCCATCGCGGCGGGTATTGGAGGAGCGCGCCGGTCGAAGCTCCATGTGTGCAGAGCTGAGGCCAACCGACAGAGACAAACGAGACCTATCTGCGGCCAAATACAGACGGGCGGCGGGCGACTTGTCGGCCAGACTCCAACTGGGACGGCGGTGCGGGCGGCGCGGCCCAAGCCCTCTGCCCCGGCCGCCCGCGCTGCCTCGACGCGTGAGGACGTGCACACAAATACGGGGCCGGACAGGGCGGACAGTAGCGGCACACACAAACGGTGCCGGCTCTGAACACACGCCAAACAGGCGGGCAGAGCCAGAACAAATACGACGTCGGGCCCGACGCCGTGATCGGCAAACACGACGTCGAAATCGTCAGGCGGACGAACTGACAGACACAGGCCGGGATCATCTGGTTCGGGTCTCGCGAGAGGCAAAAATGTTTCACGGGCCCCGCTGAAACCCTCGTTGTCAGCTGCTGAAACGCGTATTGCCACAGCATGCACCGATAACTGACCCGCATCAGCTATTAAGACATTCATACATTTGGTCCGAGCGGGCCGCCGTCTTACCTGCTCGAGGAGGAAGGCCAGCCTGTCCAGCAGGATGACCGCCTCGACGACAGGTGCCAACGAGGCGCGCAGCACGCTGAATGCCTCCAGGCGCGGCTGATGCTCCAGCAGGCGGTCGTGGTAGGCGAGCAGCTCGGCGTCGGGCACCGCCTGGCGCAGGCGCACAGCGAGGCGTTACAGGCGGTCAGGCGGGCGCGCCCGAGGCAGGCGGACGCGGAGTCTAACTAACAGAATTTAACCGTGCAATCCAGACAGACGTACAGGTGGTGAGCATTGCTGCGTCAAAGACAGAAATGCGCTGGCGCATTTCCGCTGCGCCCCGCGAGGTCGGGGCGCAGCGGACCGGCGGAGCGTCATCGTCATCGACGCCAGAACTTTCTGGCGCTTGTTAGGCGCTCTGAAAGAAGATAGGGGTGGCGTGCCGCATATGTATTTGCAGAGAAAGAACTATGCTTAAGTCGTGGACGCCAACTGGCGCATATCCCACCGATTCGACACAGACGATGGTGAATTTTTGTTGCTGGATATTGGTGAAAAGGCGGAATGTCTTATGGAAAAACGAAAATAACATAACAGTGTCCGACACAAGAGCTACGCGCAGTGCCAGAGCTCTCCACAGCTTCCACAAATACAGCATCACACCTCGCGGTTTCAAACACGCCCCGCTTAAGGACAGAAAACATCATGCCTGCCCTAATGCTCGATGGCCCCAACAGGACGTGGCGCACGAGCCATCTATATATACAGCAGTATGACGGTCAGATAGGAAATGAGGGCACTGATGGGAAATAAGGGCAGATTGTGTCGATTACCCGGGAGATTGCGACCCGATCTCCACAACAGATGCATGGCTCCACTGCAGGCCGATATTCTGCCGCCGGTCGCGGCACCCTGTGCAACACCCACCACCCGACCACGTTACAGCAGACCGTGGGGGCGGGACACGGAGCCAGCTCAAACAACGAGGGGAAGGGGCGCCCAGAGATTACGGAAGCCCAGCCACACCAGGACGGGGTGGGGGGAAGGGGGCGCTTTGAACGACGGCCGAGACGGAGAGCTAAACCCGGGGAGCGCGACGCGCACGAGGGCCGCCGCTTCATGATGGGCGGCGGCGCGAGGGGGGCGAGGGGCCCATGGCGTCGTCACGCCGGGAGTCACTCAGGCGTGACGTCACAATCGATGCCACCGGCGGGCGGGGAGGGGTGGGGGGGGGGGGGGCACCAGCGTCGCACTGTCCCGCCTGCAGCGCCAGACTGTCCTCCTCCCGGGCAGCGCTCTCAGCGGGAACAGCCCGCGCGGGGCACGGCCAGGGCCGGCCAGCCGCCGCCCCGGGCCCGTCCGCCGCCATAACGCCGTGCTGAATTTCAATCTGGCCGCCGGGCCCTGGCCACGTCGTTTCTCTCGCCGCCAGACGACTCGTAAATGTGCAGCGCGCAGGCCCGCCGCGCGCCGGCCGCTGAGGGCAGCTCGAGCTCCTGAGGACAGTCCGGGCCCTGAGGGCAGACTCGGGCCCTTAAGACAGCCCCGGGCCCCTAGGCAAGCCCGGGGCCGGCAGCCGGCCGTCGCATGGTGCCGTGTTCCACCTCGAGGCTCGGGCGTGTCGACAGTGTCCCGCCCGGCAACGATCGCCACTGAATCCGCCTGAGTCCGGTTCTCGGAACTTACGGACGGACTGCTAGCACGGGGGAAAACGGACGCGGATAACGCGCCGGCTCCCGGAGGGTTTGGCATGAATGTAAAGTTGAGAAAGTTTGCAAAAACATTGCCTCCATAAGAGCAGAACAGAAATTGCAAGCCTACTCGGACCCCTGCGGCCGGCCTGCAGGACACAGCGCTACGAGCGTGCCAAAGTCCCGCAGGACTCAACGGCACACAAAGAGACGCACACTGGCAATATCACTGAAGTCCGACGAACGACTTCCCGCGTGGGCGCATCTGTATGCATGGAGTGCTTAATGTTCTGAGCTGCCACCAGGCTTTCAGCCGGGCGTTTACGACCCGAGCCTAACTAGGGTCCCACTTGCTAGCGACCGCCAGTTAGTTGGCCAACGTCATCAAGTGCTGACAAGGCCCTTTACGCCCGGAGATGCGGGTGGCGCATGCGTCGTTGGGTCTCAGTGTCCGGCTCGACTTCATTCAATTCTGGGCTTTGGACGTCTGTTCGGACGCGTGCAGCGGCGCGCTGCTAACTTTCTGTCGCAGGGTCCAACTCTGGGGACGGCCAAATCCTGCCGACTGCAAACTTTGAGAAAAGTGTACACGGCATTGGAGCTCTCTACCCACCGTGACAAGGCAAAACATTTTAGAGACTATTCCGGTGTCAGTCAGGCGTGAAATAATCAACAATGCGGCACCTGCCGCATGACATCTTGAATCTTCCGAAATATTCATGTCATTACCGGGCCCGGATACCAAAAAATCAAACAAAAACCGAGAGCTCATGAGACGCCAAAGCATGCAAGTTTTGTCCTTACACTGACGTGCTCGCGTGATCCACGAAAATAAACTATCACAATGTGTCATTTTGGTCCAACGACATACTTCCAGCGCACCAAGGGCGCAGCCATGGTTTTCTTAAGGTGGGGGGTGGTGTTTGCGGAGGGGGGTGGGAGGAAGAGGAGCCGCAGTTCGGTGAGATCAAACCACGCTAATTTTCCACATTCCGTCAGGAGCTATCAGCGATTAAAAATAAAATGAAAATGGGTCTACGACCCCCTTTGCTGCACCGGCGAAGCGCATGATGTTTGCACGCAGGAGCCTCACATTAAACACGGCCGCCTTTGTGCCGGAGATGCGCTGACATATTCGCTGGCCGGCGACCTGGACACCCTTCCACCGCTACCTGGTCGGAGCCAGCCCCACCAGCAGGGGCGGCCCGAGTTGACATTCCGCGCCGACACCGACGGGCGGCGGCGGTAGCGCGCGAGCCCGCGTGAAGCTTGCAAAATGCCGGCGACAGTTGACACACAGGCCCTGGCAGTGCCCAGCGCCGCAGAGCGAGCGTGCGCCGCGCCGATTGATGAGCGCCAAGTTCGCCGCCGGACGAGCCGGCGCCGAATGATGAGCCGAGCCGACAAACTTTCCGCCAGCAAAGACGCAGCGCTCCGGGATTCAATTTCGCGTCGCCGGGGCACAATCCGCCACGGCACAATCCGCCGCGACGATAAGAATAGTAGTTTCGGGGAGTTGGGATACGACACTGTCACTCGGTGGGCGATTCCCCTGCCGCGTTCAGGTGCACATGTCGACAGCTGCTCTAGCAGCCGGCAGAGGCAGAGGTAAACCCAGCCACCAAGCCTTCATTCAACCGGACAAGTTCCCTGGCAACTGATCCCTTCGTTATCTTGACATTACCCCGAACCACACATCGATTTCCTGCGTAGCTGCTCTGATTCGCGACCGTGATCGGAGTCGACGTCCGATGGCGCGCGTCTCTCATGTGCATGCCACGGACCAACGGGCCCGGCCCCCAGTAACTAAACCATTCCCAGGCTGCGCGTGCCAGCGGCGGCATGCTCTCCAGTGGGCGTTACCAGCCCGCAAACCGGCCGCGCCACAGCACGCTCCAACAGCGTCGGCGATGAAGTAGGCCCTGATCATGGCCGGACACGGGGGAGGACTGAACACACAGAGCCAAATCTGAGAACGGCAAGGTCTGGCCGTTCAAACCACTCAATCGATCAAACATCGGGCGTCGATCAGCGGCTGGACGGGGTCGATGTGACCGCGCGGCGGGAACAATCCGGCCGCGGCGCCAGCGCGCCAGAGGTCACAAATCGTGAGATGGAGCAATCTGCTCCGGGCCCGACCGGTCCGCGAGACGTGATGGCACGGAGACGTCGTTGGAAACCGGGCGATGACAATGGTTTCAGGACATGGCAGAACGGAATCTGACACCGGGAGCATTTCGTTTTCCGCATATGGGTCCAGGATGTGGACCCGGGATATGCCAGCTCCTCGACTAAACGGACACTTCGGAGTGCGAACGCACGGCCACATACGTTGCGAGCGCCCACACCGGGGCTCCATCCGTTCAGGGGCGGTTGCAATTCTCGACGCTGGAAGACATCACCATTAGCTCTGAGGGTCAGTCATAGCTCACCCCAACACGGGCCGTCTATCAGTGCTGAACCGGCATCAGACGAGCCAGGGCCCAGGCGGCTGACACACGTCACAGGCCCGCCGGGGACACGTACAGCACACGCCCGACACACGGAGGGGGATGGGGAGGACGCAGCTGGCAGCGCGATACCCTCTGACTCGAAGGGCTGAGTTCGAATCACGCTTCACATGTCATTCACATTTCGCGCTCACACCACCCACATCCCTATGCCAGGCACCGGCACCATTGCGTCAGGCCGAGCGAGATGTGCCAACGTTGGTGTTCATAGTCGCTCTCTGGACCAGCCGGCGCCGACGCCGACCAGCGCACGACCGCGCGCCGGGCCCGCGTCTCCGGCGCGCCGCGGCACGGCCCGTGAATCAGTCCCGCGTCTAGCGATGGGCCAGCCGGCGGCCGCGGCCGCATGCGAAGCGTCCAGCGCCGTCGCCGGACACGAGCGGCTACGGCGGGACGGCCAGTCGTCGTGGGAGGTGCTGGGCGGCGAGGCTGGCGGAACGCTGAGTCGGGGGTGCTGGTAGCGGCGACATGGGAGACGCTTCATGGCGGCGATGGACAAACTTGGCCAAAGGATGGCCACGGCTGGACGAGGTTGGATTGTGGCAGAAGTGTAGTTCTGAAAGTGAAGTTCCTGACGCCGAGGCGCAGTTACGATAATAAGCCGTCCGCAGAGTGTACAGTAGCTATCTCCGGTCAAAGCCGCCCAGTACAGCTCGCTTACAGATCGCAAACGCGTCCTTGTACACTCATCAGCCTCGGTTGTTAAATACAGCGCCTCCATTGAGACTACTGCAGTTGGCAAGTGACCCGTCCTTATCTTGATGCAGCCGTTCGCATGAGATCTCCGCCCACACTATACAAAGACTGCGAAGGCTCGCCCGGGTCTGCCCAGGGCCGACCACGCCTGGGTCTGGATACAGTCACACACATCCGCGTCAGCAGACGGAGGCCTGTCCGCGCACATGCAGCAGCAGAGTCTGGCAGACACTGAGACGCGCCGGCAACCGCGCCCGCAGGAGCCGCCGCTCCAGACGGCGGATGACCCCGGCGTACAGCTCCGCCTCCCCCGCCCTCCCCCCCCCCCGCGCGTACCGCGCCCGCAGAAGCCGCCTCTCCAGACGGCGGATGACGCCGGCGTACAGCTCCGCCTCCCCCGCCCTCCCCCCTCCCCGCGTGTACCGCGCCCGCAGAAGCCGCCTCTCCAGACGGCGGATGACGACGGCGTACAGGCTCCGCCTCCCCTCCCTCCCCCCCCCCCGCGTGTACCGCGCCCGCAGAAGCCGGCCTCTCCAGACGGCGGATGACGCCGGCGTAAAGCTCCGCCCCCCCCCCCCCAGCGTGCCGCGCCCGCCCGTCACCTCGGGACCAACTCCCAAGTCCAGCCCGTCTGCGATCCACCAGCGTCCGCCGCCCTCTGCGCCGCCGGCCGCCGGTCGCCGGCTAATGGCGGCCGGTCGGCCACCGCTCGACCAACTTGTGCGGCGGCCGTCCTCAGTCCGGCCGGCGCGGCCTCGTTAGCGCAGTCGCCGCCGGCAGTCGCCTGAGAACGAGCCCAGCCGGGCACGTCCGCCAGCCGGCCGATCTGCATGCGGCGTCAGGGCGGCCGCCGCCGGGACGACGGGCCGTTAGCAGGCGCGCCGGCGGCTCCGGCGCGGCCGTCAATGCCGCGTCGCAGAGAGGTGACCTCCGCGGACGGGTGTTGCCGCCGTCAGCGGCCAGCGGGCCGGCTGGCGGAGGGCGGGTCGCGGCTTCAGCTGCGGTTGGTCGCCGCGGTCCGAGCGCTGGTCCCGCTGTCCGCAGCAGACGGACTTCGCTCCCACGACGTGCGGCGTCGTGTGTTTGGCTTCGCAAATCATTGCACTGTCAGCCAGCCCGTGAACTGCCACCACCAGCCACGCTACAACCTACCTCGGTGGTGCGTTTTGCTACGTCACCACGTAGACTGTCAAAGAGCTGGGGATTCCACACAAAACAAAAACCCTCCCCTGCCGTTGCCTCGTCTTGCCAGCCCAGCTCGGAACGCCGCCGACCTAACGCCTCAGCCGTTACATCCGTCGTGAAGCAACGCAGCATCGCCATCGTTAGCGTGGCGGCTTACCAGGCTAACGACGTGCTAGCACCAGCGAAATAGCCATTGACTACATTATCTTCACTTCCGCGGCACGCGCTGCTCACCCTGTGATCCAGCGGGTACTTGCTGAGCGCCATGTGCATGTAGTCGAGATAGCCCTTGGCCTTGCGCGCCAGCCGGCCCACCATGACGTCAGTGGGCACGGCGCCCAGCTTTGTCGCGGAGGTACACCTGCAGTACGGCGCGGTAGTACAGCGCCGGTGACGGGCTCTGGAAGCGGACAGCACGTCAACGCACACGCCCGCAAACCAGGCCCAAGTCAAGGACATTCAGCTGCTGACATATGTCGCACACGTCGTTTTGCTTCGGCGCATGAGCGGGCACAGCTTCGGAGCGACGCGGCCGTTAGTGCCAGCGGCGGAGCCTGGAAAAACAGCGGCGCGCCGGACGTGTGGGTCGCTCACACCGCAGTGTCGCCCACTGTCGGCAAAACACCAGGTCGTCTGACAACGGGAAATGAAGACGACCTGGCCGCGGGTGAAACATTTATGGCACATTTAACACCGTGAGCGCTGGCCGTCGCGACGCATGCACATAAACGCCGCGAACGCCGGCACGCGCGGCATGCCCCTCAAATAAGCCCGTCGGGCTAACGTGACGACATGCAAGCACCACCACCTTCTCCGAAGCTGGGCCCGGGCTGAGCCGTGCTGGCAGCACTCGGCGGGCGGCGATCGCCCGAGGCATGACAGTCACGGCTCGAAGCTATTCAAGAGCGCGCCGAATGGTCCGCGGCACGGCTCACAGCGTCTCGGCCGGACCGGGTCAAGTGCTGCGGCTCAGGGGCGTGTTTCCGGCACCGGCGGCACCGCGGCACCGGCCGCGCCGCGGCCGCCAGTGCCTTCAGCAAAGGCGCCGACTATTCGTCGAGATCAAACAATTCTCGCCAATCCGTTCGGACGTGCCGGGATTTTCTCCGAATTGAATGAAGACTGGATTTTTGAATCTGGAGCAAAGCCTGTGCCCAACGCGCAAAGCTCCGAGGAAAGTTGGGAATTGGCGTGAGTTTGGTAGCAGATGTTCATTTACATTCCAACTGGTGGAGTCAAGGAGGTTAGTTGGGAAAACTCGAATGCGTTTGACAGGCTGATTCTTGGAGAAGCCTTATTATCAAGTCATGCATACTTGCAAAAAAAATTCGTCGTTCCACAACCTTTTTAAATACTGCTATTAAAAGATCTCGACCTGAGCCTTTGAAGTTTTTGAAAGCAGGCTTTGAACCATCCATTCACCAAGATGTGGATTTAAGAAGCCTTCTTGTACCAACAATTGCCAGTTACCCAATTACCAATGTACCAATTGCCTTCTTGTACCTTCTTATCTTCTTGTATCATGTACCAACTTGGCATAAATATTTTTCTCACACACTCAGGTACTATCCCGTTCTTGTGAGTCTTACACCTTCACCCTGAATCACCTTAAGTTTGATATAACCGAGCACAGTGTGACTGCAGTGGACACGCTGGGGCATGCTAACAAGACCCGTCACGACTGCCCACAACTACACCGCGTAAGTTGCGCGTTCTTCCCCACGACAAGCCGGACAATCTGACCTACCCGTGCCACACAAACCCGCCCGGGCAGCAGACACGCCAGGTCGCGTCGGGCTCCGCCGCGAGGCGCGCCTGGTGGCGCCGCGCCCGACACCCACCCGCTGGTAGGAGGCCATCCTCTCGGAGGCCTGGGCGGCCAGTCCGCGCGCCTGCTGGCCCAGCACGTAACGCCGCCGCGTCAGCAGACTGCAGAGTGGGAACGTCTCGTCCGCGGGGTCGAGCTCGCGCCAAAAGTCGCCCTCGAACCGCTCCCGCTGCAGGTGGTAGCAGCAGCCGACGTTCACCAGCAGCCTGGCGAGGAAGGGGGGGGGGGGGTCAGTGCGACGGGCCTGGCCACGTGATGGTCCACACTTCGACAACGGTGGCCGGCGCGCCGGGCGAACACTCTGACAGAGCGACTCACGGTCAAAGCCGCAGCACCGTCGGATGTCTCCTATAATGGCTTCTTATTCCGGCGGTAACCGTGACGCGTTTAAGTGGCACGGACGAGGCGCTGCGATCTCTCGCGCCGGCGGCGGCGGGGAACCCCACAACCAAGGAACTGAAGCCCTGTACGGCAATCGCCGTCTCCAGGACCTAGATATAATCCAAATTCACTGGTTAACGTGTCAGACCGAATTATGCTGGATAAAAGCCCCTGTACTGCCTCTTCGTAGCATTCATAGGATTTACGTTCCAAGGGATGACGCGGGTTCCCCCAAGATCATTCCATTTCCGTCCACGACCTTCAACTTGGATGATCTTACACTTATCACGTCCAAACACGACGATAACATCGATGACTATAAACCCTCACTTTTTACTTGCATCATTATAAAGACCTGCCAAGGTGTTACGTTGGTTTTGGGATGGCCTTAAATCACCACGGAGATGTCCAGCCATTTTCGTCTACGCCACAGTGGCTTTATGGCCCAATTTAGCGCCGACTCCGAGATCTAATCTGATGTGAATACGAACTTGACTGACATTTTGAAAGGTCATGGACACTGATTAAAGTTCGTTGTGACCTCCAGCAGACAAGATCTGGTGCACACAGCTCCAGAATGCGACGGAGAGCGAGGCTATCCAACATTTTCGGCGTAGAAACCTTTCAGAACTAATTCAGAGTCAGTGACCTGACATAACCAAAAGATGAACATTGGAAGCCTGCAAAATGGAGTGAAGACCTCGTAGCCCATGTGTTCATTATATTCTAATGCACCGTTCGGAGAGACATTGAAGGACGAGAATGGGCTGCATTCCACCTGCCCTGGCGGGAGGGTGCCGCCCTAGCCCGCTTGGTCCACTGGTCCACGAACAACGGACAAATAAGCGCACCGGATGAGCCAGGAATGCGCTGCTGGTCGGTCTCCGTTTCCTGGCTATAAATCCTAACACGGACCGTCTTTTTGCATCCCATCTGGGACCGCGCATTGCACTGCATGTACGGACGCCGGTGCAGCGTCGCCGTCAGGTGATTTAGTTCTGACAAAGCACGGGTAACAACAAACAGCCGTTTTGTTTGTTCTCCCCGGCACAAAAAGCACCCTCCTGCGGCACAGATAGCCTGCTACCCTACCCGGCGCCGGCCGATCGATGGGATCCCTCCCGGGGGTCGGCGATGGACGAACGGGCTGTCGCTCGCAGCCACACCGGCGCGCAGGAGACGCACGACCGGCGGCCGCCGAGCGCACCGCCTCTACGGCCGACCGCCCCAGGCTCGCGCACCGGGCGAGAGCACCACCCGCTCCCTGTCGCACGGAGACGGCACGGACCGGCGGCGCCGATCGCACCCGCCTCCACGGCCGACCGC